TATTTAGGAAGGAAGAACACGAAAAATACAAGTCCCAGTGACTGCACAACTTGGCCGCCATTTTCCTTGTTTTGACGTCTCCTTTGGCTTTCTGGGATAGAAAGGTACCAGGCCTTTTCTCTCGTGGAGTTTTACGAAAATAGAAAGTTACGTATTCACTTCACTTCCACCGCCGCCATACTGAATTGTCTGTAATACGATATACCGCTGGCATTTCGTAACGGGCTCGAAATGTCCCCGATTTTTGATGATGTTTTCTTTCTTGAAAGTTTTTTTTGACTATTTACCCAGTCAACAATCGAAGCTGTGCTGAAACTATTCGCTTCGCTGACCACATGTTATCATTATCGATTAAGAGCAAAAATATTAGAATACATGAAGGAGTAGAAGCAAAATTAATAGTTAAAAGTTTCATTTTAATCCACATTCTATCTTTCTTAAACGCTCATTCCTTGCATCTGACTATTGCGACATGTGACCACAAAAACCCCATGTTTTAGGTACTCTTTTAGCATTGCTTGTTTTTATACGTGCAGAGTAAGTGTTTTGAAGGATCTTTCGGTAAACCTTATTCTTAGCAGCTTAGAGATGTCCCTTAAAAAAATATCCTGTCCCTCCCTCTTTTCGGAAATAATAATGGAACATAAACGTCACGATTAATCTAACCTCGCATGTTTCGACTGCTTTACCCCCCAGTCTCAATCTATCAGCGATGGCTTTGGGCATCATTCTATAAAGCAACTCTTCACTCCGCTTCCTCTCTTGCGCCAATTTCTCCATATTTTCTTCGAGGGCCTTCCCTTTCTCAAATTCCTTGTTAAGTGGATAAAAAATAGGCACTTATCATTTCAAGCATTTTGAAAACCTGGCTGCAAAGAAAGCTTGACAAGTTTAGTTAGCAAACTTGAATCCTGGACACTCACATGGTCTCTTGCCATCTCAAGCTGAGGCAGTGGTTTAATCCCAGATAGTACCATCTCACGTGATGTATCATGCAGTCCTAGGTCGCTCATATACAGACCTATGCGCATCATCTCCTCCACACCCCCAATCCTGCATGTACGTAGAAAAGAAGGAATTCGGAAAAAAGATGACACTCAATGAAATCACAAGTCTTAACAATTGCGTCACCTTTTAATTTTTTGGCAGAAACATTAGTGCCGCGCGCATTTCACACTAGTATGCTAACATTTCATCCATTCTGACAAGAGTGAAGGTAAAGGCGACTTTACTCTGATAGATGTACGAAATTTTCCGCTTGTCATACTTAAGTCATTATTTATTTTTTTTCCTTTAATTAGTAAGCCGTTTTCTTCTTCTTTCAACTGCGCCTTACTCTGAGCTGATTCAAAGGCTGGCTATTATGCACATGGCGTGGCTACTATGCTACTATAAACCTTAATAGAAAAACAAATTAAAGAACCTTACAAAGGTGAGCAGATGTAAATAATTTTATTCCATGACGGCATGAACTTCATCGTGCCCCTAAGGTGGAGCTTAGGCTGTTTGGACATCATGGTCTCGTACTGCTGTTCATTTTCAGTGGAGAGAAAAAGAGGACACTCCATACTGCTGTTTTGGAGTTTATAAGACGATTGTTGCAGCGTAAAATTCGCCCTTGTGGGACGTCGCAGCGTCGCAAGCGTACAGACCAACTCGAACATCACGTGCCTTGTCGTAAACTAAACCAAACAAGAGAAGAATAAAAACAAATCATTCATGATTCTAAAAACAGGAAGACTAAGAAGCGTGGAGCTTAGATAGACAAGAGCCAATGTGAGACCGATATGACTCATCTTACCGTGTTCCATGTGAAATCCGCTTTAGGTCTCCTCATTGTGAACAACTCTCTCACGTCGTTGCCTATGATACGATTTCCCACAGTAGATATGATTCCATGTCCTGCCATGTGCACTGTCATGTCACGCGCAATCGCGAAACTAAACGGAAATAAATTGAAAAATACTTCAATGCTGACACTGCGTTTGCTGTGGATTGATAAGGAGTCAGGGATGGGAGGTTTATAGCCAGCGTTTTCGAAATCGAGGCGGTATACCACGTGAGTAGTCGTGTTGGTGACTTCGTTGTTAAGAATTTTGACGTCAACGTCCAAGTTGTAGAAGGCGGAAGCAATTTCTTTGACTTGTCCAATGACGTAGTACATGAAGCCCTTCCGTTTTGAAATGTAGTGCAGTGTCAAGCCTCCACTCGTTTCTTCCTCGCAGAAAAAGCTTGGAGACAGCATCTTTTGGTAACCAAAACGCATGTGCTCGTGCAAGCTGTCAATACCAATTAAAAAATCTCGCAAATGCCGACCACTTACGCGAATTATACGATCGTAGCCATAGTGACTGAAGAACTTCACAAAACACCTGCCGAAAAACTGCATGAAATCGTCGCTTGTCATATCTGTTTCTTCTCCAAGAACTTCCTCACTGGCGTCGGCAATTTTCTGCATCATACTCTCACTGTAGCGTTTGTGAGTTATGAACATATGTTCACTTATACCTGCGCGTTCTCTGATCTTGTCCCACTTTTCTTCGCCATATTTTTCGACTAGATAGTACATGACGCTCTCCAGAAGCATCCCATACATCTTGTATCTACAAGCTGTCTTTATTCAGCGCTGATAAACTGCTTGAAATAAAATTCGAGCCGACAACAGGCCTAGATTTATAAAAAAAAAAGTGTTACCATGGCAGTGACATCTTCGATGGAAATACTGCGCCCATAAGCCTCCCTTTAACACTTTTGTACTCGACACCAACATGAATATTTAATTTTAATGCATTCAGCTTAGAAATATATTGAATAATAATCCTCCCGCCCAGTTTTAGAAAATAATTTCTAAAGGGACAGCTTGACATCATTCAAGCTGCAAATTTTAAAGTTGACTGGGAACTCAAATAAACTTTCGGTTAATAATTAACGGTGTTACATTTCACTGCACAAAAATTATCAAAGTTCGAGTTAATTGGACACGTCGACCTATACCAAAAATCAGCTCAATAACTAGGAAGTCAAGAAAACGTTCAAATAAGCTGCGAAAGTTGAAATTTTGAGACTTGAAAAACATAGAGCCTTGGTCGTTCTTGCCCATACTTAACATTCCTAAACAAATTTCAACCGCTTTTGAATTTCATCAATTAAGGCAGCGCAAAGATCTTAACCATTTCCTCGAACAGAGACAGATAGTCTATAAATCGAGACCGCACAATGCAACAAAATCACTCGCTTTATACTTTTGACGATATTTAGTGATGAGATTCAAAATTAACTTTCTCAACAGCTAGCTTCGTGTTTTCTCGCTCTGTGAAACCAAATGAATATTGATTGTGAAACGATTAATATGTTAAATGATCAAGTTTCAAATTCGCCATGATCGCCTAATGAAATTCAAACGTTTTTTAACAGGGTTTGTCTCTTTCTGAAATTTGTATATTCATAAATTCAAGAACGATCTGATCTATGTATGACCGTGCCTACTATTTGAGTTAGCTTTCAGATTTCAGATCAAGGATAATTCGTTGTCATTAGCAATTTCATACAGCAGTAATTTGAGCTTCGAAATAGGTCTTTTCTAAGGAAAGAATAATTTTGGATAAAAAGTTTGTGAGTGACACTGCGTTATGCCCTTAGCGCCCTTGTGCAATGCATGGTTTATGATCGAGCAAAAGTTTTTTCTTGGAGGAACTAAAAGTATACGTCATTGCTCAGTGGAAGAAGAATTATATAATATTAATTAATAAGTAGCTTGCATTCTTATTACAAATGCACCTGTAAAACAAAAATCAGTTTTACAGGTGCATTTGTACTTTATGGGGAAAAAGATACCAGATACATAACGAGAAAAAATGGACTCACTCGTACTTGATGTTTACACTAGGCAAATAAATTGTCCGAAAGATCTGGAGAAATCACATGTCATTCTATAAACTACTGTTAAAAATATTTCCCTCAGGCAACAGGAGTGATCATGGTTATGAACCTTCATGATTTAAAATCATGTTTCTCATAGATAGGAGTAAACCTTTTGGGTGATTATGAAAGCATTAACAATACAAGTAATGATAGCATTTGGCGTTAAAATGAAAAAATCTTCGATCAGTTTGTAAGTGGTCAATGATATGTTTTTTGAAAAGCACAGGCTCATTATTGGTTGCCAATATGCCAGGCTGATGTGAATCTAACTACAAAAAAGTAACCAATCATAATAATTCCTCATAATTAACTTCCAATCAAGTCAAGGGGATTGGTTGGCCGTTTTCCAGGAGCGACCATTCAAACGCCGTGCTTACAACATACTGGCATATCAAAGAAATGGAAGTTACGACAGAGGTAATACGTTACGCTGATAAGATACAGACACTGATCGTTTTAGTTACAATTCATTTACGACAGTAAAGGACCGGGTTTTATTTGATGTCAAAAAATTTATCAAGAGGATGATTAATGAGATTTCATACCTTTTTTAATGATTTTTTTCCTTGTTTTTTCATCGACCCTGATTTAGTTTACTGTTGTTACAGAATACGGTGCCATCATCATTCAAAGTTAAAGATACAAAAAAAAAATTAATGACAGAAATAAAACTAGTAAAATCATTACTTTTGATTTTGTAAAGGAATAAACGGGTTTCTGCAACGATAGTTTCTCCTCAGGCGATGGGCCATGATCATGAGTTAATTAGTAATGGATTAAGAATTTAAAATTTCATTCTGTCCGCTTAGAAGAGCCGGAACACGAATCAATTATTGTAGCAGGATTTTGTCAGCCTCCAGTTAAATTAAATTTTATTGAATACAAATAATAGGAAACATATCTAAGATGCTCTCCATGAGGATTGTCTCTCGCCAAAAGTAATAACAGCATACATCATCTACATCGTTGAAAATATCGAAGTGATGTCAACACGAAAAAATATGATTCAGTTTAAATATAGAAATCTATCGATGATTTTTGTAAGAAAGTAAAAACGTTTATGGAATAAACATTGAACTTGGCTGTTAGTCAGTGGTTGAGTAAAAGTATCGGAGCCTTGGCCTTTGAATTCGTCATGAGGTTGATTTTGGTGGAATGAATACCGAAATATATCAGAAATTTGTTTGACCAATAACACTTCCCATTATTTTGGAAAAAAAAAAAGAAAAAAAGTGTTATTGTAAGAGAGAAACTTTGTTAAACTAAGCAGATTTTCTGATGCGTGATTAATGTCGGGCTAAGCAAAAGTCTTCCGATCTTGTTTGTCTCTATTGGCATAGTAACCAACGTTTCTAATGGAGATTCCGCCTCAGTCACTTTAAGAAATAAATATTTATTTCAAAGTTTTAACAAACGGATTTAACTTGTTCCTCAAGAGATATTTTTAATGCCTTGTGATATCATTGGTGATCCGTTGGATGAAGTATAACTACTGAATTGCTGATGGAGCTTAGCTAGCATCGCGCAATTCAAAGAAATGAAACATAGATGATAAATCCGTTTTTCACTCATAAAAATATCTTTGAGTTTTCAACGGATTTCTGAATAAATCTTCCTAAATATATTTATGCAGGATATAGGGTTTTTTCCATGAATAGTATGTTATGTGGATCTTCCGTAGTCTCCGTTGTAAAGTTAGCTTTCAGTTATCCCCCATTTCTAAGCTAATAAAATTGGCTCAGGTTCGTTTGCGCGTTTCGCGTTAACTCGCTTATCATTCTCCCTGATTTAACCATGGAAACGTATACAGTAAATGTACTAAACAACGCAGATTTAATTAAATTTGCATTTCTTTTCCTTAACGATGGCTGAGAAAATCACATTTATGACCTAATTTTGGAGAAATTAACGAAGCTGATTTCCCGTCAGGGTGTTTCAGTTTTGAAAAGTCGTTGTAGCAAGTATGTCACCTAAGGTTTACAATTCAGAGTTGTTAAAAGTCTCAGTTTAGAATATTGCTCCGGTTTTTTGGCTGGAATTTTGCTCTCGTGTGATGATAATTGTGCTTTCAAACATTCTCGAAAAAAGGAAAGAAATTTGTCTTACCTGTAATACCAATGTTTCGGTACACTTCCCGAAAAGTATATGCTTTGACTTTGAGACTTGAAAATTTTCTGCTCTATGATCAGCGGAATGGATATGAGTAAATTATACTCACTTGTGTCTTCAAGGAGAAACTGACTGTTGTAGTGTCTTTTCTTCGCTGTAACTGTCTCAACGATCGTGTACCCAACTGTTATAGTCTAAACTTAAACTCATTTATTATTTATACAAAATGTAATGGCTAACTGTGCGAGCGAACGTTACTCCATAATGTTGACTCTGGTGAATTAAAATTGGCGAATGGAACTGGGATAATTAACAATCTCTTTGAAATGTCAAATCATCTATGCACACAGAATCCACCTGAGTCAAAGGGAGTTAGATTGCTTCTTCTACTTTAAGCCGCTTTCTGCTTAAAATTTCTCGTTTCCTTCTACAAGGCTGAATAATTCATCATTTTTTCGACTCCCTCGGTAACAAAAGAATGGCACGAAAATCTAGTTTTTGATATGAAAATAATAGTAAGTCCTTCGGCTAACGTATCCAGTTCTTATCTCTCGTAAACCGAAAAACATTCAACATCAGATTTGGTATCCCGAATTTCAGTTTAACCGTGTCACACCGTTATCGCAGTAGATAATTCATCGAATTTCCCCAAAATTTTTTGGAAATTTGACGGCGCTTCTAAATTAAAAATTGGAGTAAGGTAAACATAACCCCAATCCGTGTTCAGGATAATTCAATTAGGTCAAACCGCTTTCTGAATAATATTTGATAGCTGTCAGTGAATCGACTCTCTAGTGGACGGCGAAAACCCCATGGCGACGTGTTTATTAATTTCTCTTATTCGGCTTTACGATTATTTTTTTTTTAATTTCATCCTTTTTATATTTTCCCCACGTCACAGTCAACATATCTGAAAGATTTTCTGAATGAAATCTAAAGTATCATACAAGTAATTTTTTGTGACATTTCAAAATATGCTTATTGTATTTATTCTCTTTGTTTTTGTTTTTTTGTATCGTTTCTTTTCCTTTTTGAGCAATAATACCAAAAACACTACATAATCCTTAAGCGAAAACTGCTTTCCTGAGCTGTAAATCTGGAGAAACGGATATATCATCATTTGTAAGCTTCTAAGACAAGGCTTTGTCGAAGGAGATTGGTCTCCTGGGTCTCCTTCAAATCTACCGACTTGATCTACAAGCACACATAAAATTGAATTGCACTGAAGTAATACTTTAAATACGTCAGGCCCTCTTGGTCGATTTAGACGTTAGCGTCCGATCCTGGACTTAAGTAACCGATCTTAGATCACACACTCATGACCGATTTAAGACTCCAGTATCCGAATTTGAACACTAGTGTCTATTTTTTTACATCGCTGTCTGATTTAGAAACTAGTGTCCAATTTTGAACTTGGTGTTTTGCGTTTGCCGTGTACGTAAGAGTTTCTTCCTTTTATCTAGTGCAGCTTAGAAGTTAATTGCCGGGAAAAAAGTACACCAAAACTATTTGCTGTAAGTCATACTGAGGCAGATGAAGCTTCATGTTAAATATCCTTCAAATGCTGCAGTATTTAGGGTTTCACAGCCATAGCTTTATTCTTAAAAAAAAAGTTTATCATTCATAGAACAGCGGGAGAAAGCCAGGTTACGGGTAATTAAACATTCCTTTCAGATGATTGCCACACTTCTGCCAAGTCAACATGCTTTTCCAGTTCAGTGATTTCTAAATATAACCAGGCCTTTTGTTTCTCTGAAATCGTGGTAAGGATGTAAGTGAAAATAACAGAAGTGGAAAGGGACAAACAAACAAAAAAACCCAAAATACTGATAATAATAATTCAATGATACTAATAATGGTAATAATGACAATAATGATGATGATAAAAATTAACGATAATAATTGAAACGATGATGATGCTGATGATAAATGTTACATCAATAATAATAATAGTAATAATTCTATTAACAAGAAATAATACTTATGAAATACAAACAGGAAACTGTCGAGCAAAGTCCATATTAAGACTTCACGTGGCTCCTGCTCGAGCTTTACCTTTTATGTAAATGCATACTCTGTGCAGCAAAAAAAAAAAACAAAACAGAAAGGAGGGGTTAATTCCAGGCCCACAAACTTAGTGGGCAAACAAATTAAGTAAAAAAAAGATATGCACTTCATTTCTATTTTCAGACTTCCAATATAGTTATTGCAATTGAGATGGCATTTCATTTCATTCCTATCAGTAAAGCTAGTTAAGTGTTCTAATCAAGTCTTAGCAGCCTTTCTTTTCAATCTTTTGCAAGTTTGATAAATCACCAGAAATTAGAGATATCAGAGCTTGCTTCAACAATTGTTTCTTTATCGACAGTATGTATTATATTTTGCTTCATTGAATTACTAAATATATAACAATTGTTTTGTAAATAGGTTCATAGACGCTTTACAATGTAAAGTATGATGAGAACATAAAACTTGAAGGACGCTGGTTTTCATTGAGCAAATCTTCTGTAATGATCTATATAGATAATGTACGTCATTATATACAAATTGTCATCTCTAATCATATTTTGAATTTAAGAAATATCATATTAACCACAATGACATTTGCTAACATATTTGAACCCTTTTAAATATTCTATTCATTTACTAAAAAAAAAACTACGTACAAGTAAAGCTCAGAAGACTAAACTTCAAAGAAAAAAACATGCAGCGATCCCGCCATATAGATAAACGTACAGACATAAATGATATTGTATAGATGTATAAATATATAGAAAAGCGATCCCTTCCGCATATGATGTAAGTCATTAAATACAAATTGCCATCACAAATCAGCAAAATGAAAATAATATGCGATATTCTAAAATTTGTGAAACATCGTATCAATCACAATTATATTCGCTAACAAATCTGAACCCTTTCAAAGATTAAATTTATTAAATAAAACGAAAGTATGTATAAATGAAACCCAAGAAACCGAATTTCAAAGACAAAAACATCAGCGATTCCGCTTAAACTTAAATCTACAGCATGTCACTCATCTCCAACGCGACATTTCACTAGGATAGCAAATGAAGATGAATTTCCTTCTAGATGATCTGAAATCTTTTGATCATTACTTTAATATTTTTCATATATTTGATTGTTGGAAAACCGGCCCTATCAACGTTCTGAAAAGACTGCTCCGCCATCTAGTCCAGTCGGATATGAGATTTAAGTCATTATTGACCTTATAACTCATGTTTTCTGACACTCAAAGGTTTACACAAACACCTTAAAAACTTTGATTGGATTGGATTTACCATTCCATCGATTGGTCTTTGTTGCAGATTCATATGACCCCATTTGTCGGTTAATCTCTCGCGAATTCCAAAAAGGTGCCGTTCAACAATATTCTCCTTGTTTCAAAACAATCTTCAGATTCGACGAGGGTTTTTATCAATAATATTGCTCTGAGTCATTCAAACTACACTTACAAGTTTAACTCGACCGTTACGAGTTACATTTGTATTGTCAGTCTCGTTACTAATGGAATATTTTCCACGTGAAACTTTTCCATTTCTAGAATTGTACACATTTGCGATATCAGTAAAAGTTCCTTCATAACTTCCGAAAGACCTTGAGGTCGGACTATAAATGAATTTATCATTTTCGTCTTCTTTGAAGTATTCTGACTTTGGACTATTTGGGCTCCCCAACAAAGAGGTATTTCCTGTAATGCAGAAGAATGTTCCTTTTCGTCGCTTTGGATTTTGGAACGTCATTCTTGTTTGTGTACTCTGCTGAACCTGCATTTCTGACTGGTCATCTGAACACGCAACTACGACTGGTATTTCCAGGTAACCGTCCTTTACGAACTTTCCTCTAATTTTCGCTTTGATCTGCAAATAAAAATTAATGGTCACGGATTTTATTGTATCTTTGTCAATGTATACTTTTTTTTTATTGTAGAATTTCTCATTTCAGAAAAGACAACATAAGCTGCAAATACGTCAATTACAATTAACCTTAAGATCTATAGCTAAGTGTTCTGGAATTGGAGTCCAGAGTTCCGGGTTCGAGTCTTTTCTCGGGAAACGTCGCCTCGTGTTCTTAGTGAAGACATCCCACTCTAACGGCACCTTTCGCAACCAGGTTATTCAGAGGCTACCTGGAAATTATCAGACCAATTTGAAAAATGCCGTAAGGTGACCCTACGATTGGCAGGCATCACCTCGAAAGAATTAGTATTACATGGTGTGCGTTCGTGCCTTTGATGAATCCGGGGTAAAGTGTAGCAGGATGACTGGGCCCTCTAGCTCGTGAACCAGCTTTGACTTTACCTAGGTGAGTGGAAATGAAGCACTCACCAGTATGAAATATAGGACCGCTATACATTTGCACGATATCAGTGTGGGGAAGGTGGTAGGTGGAATTGCAAGTGATATCTTGGGGAAATCTTGTTCCCACCCGCTAAGAACTCCTTGTTTTCTTACGTAACATACTGTTCGGTCATTGAATGTTTTACCACCTGAAACAAAAATGTAAGAAAGAAGATGAAAACAATTTGCAAACAGTTAGGAACACAAACGAAAAGTTAGTAGCAGTCGGTTTCATAGTCGGAGGTTGAGCTTCATTGTACTTCCCATTCAAATATTTTTTTAACTCAAATATTTGTTTAACTGAAAGGCCATCCTGTCCTCATGCAAAGCAAATAAACCTCATTTAGGTATGAGGGGATAACCCCTTTGATCTCTTTGCCTTTAAGAATAGCCGCTATCAAAGATGTTGCACTGTTGCTCTAAGCAGCCATTTCGACAGATGAGAGATAATAAATAAACCTCATTTAGGTATAAGGTGATAACCCCTTTGATCTCTTTGCCTTTAAGAATAGCCGCCATCAAAGATGTTGCACTGTTGCTCTAAGCAGCCATTTCGACAGATAATAGAGAGGTATGAACGATCTTTGCAAAGCATTTTTTCCTATGAAACTTTGTCGATCAAGGGGTTTTGCTGGGTTACCATTACAATTCCTGGGGAACCTGCCCTTGAATTATCCCCTTAGAGGTGAAGTAAGCTCTTGCAGAACTGATGAGCACATCATGCACAATATTTGTCGGATATGTTCTTTGATGGAGATTTCCGCCCGTCTAACGCACCATGAGCTCTTTAAAGCTTAGAATTGCATCATTAAAAATAATCTCCCATTTTGATTGGTTAACGAAGAGAGGTATTTATCGAGGAATTGCGAGTTGAAAACGAGGCTGTGATATTGTTTTGCATCTACTTATACATAACAACTATAAGTCATGCTGTTTTCTTCTTTTTTTTTTCTCACTTTTATTCAATTATGCGATTCAAGGAATATCAATTACTCGACTCGTGATTCCTCGCTAAAAAAACCGATATCGCACGAATCGCTTTGCGATTCGTGCGATATCGATTTTCGCGTTCGATGTAATACGGAATTCCCTCGTCAAGTAGAGAATATTCCTATAGCATCCTTATATCTTTCTCAGCTTTACCTTCGACACCCACAAACAGTGCTCGCTGAATGAGAGACACTTCAGTGTAAGCTACATTACGAGATGTCTCATTTGCAACCAGGAGAGAGATGTTTATATCATCTCCTTGTTTGAAACCACCTCGGTCAATCTCTGCTCTGATTACCAACGTGCCGGAAGTCATACAAGACCATCCCAATGTTCGTGAGTCTTCCTCAATCACAGGGTCCTGTCGTGAAGCAGAAACTGAATAAATCATCAGATAACTTTATAAACTCCTCTTTCTTGGCAAATTCAAGCTTTATGCGTCTATTAACTTTAAAACTACGCTAACCAAGAATTAGACACTCATTCACAATGAAATGGTCGGCTGAGCTAATAGATTCTATTATGCTTCATATCTATTTACTATATAATTAACTGACAACCTGGCGTTTTTAACTAAGGTTGGTTCGGGCTGTCAACTACCTTCTTTTCATTATTTTGTAATATTGACACACTTGTAATTGTAGTTGACATGAACTTTATTATCGTGGTCGTTACTCTAAAGATCAGAGGAAAAGTAGGAGACATAAAGAAGGAAAAACACCACCTGACATCAAATGTAGGAAAAATGACGAGAAAATCTGGAGGACGTTTCATCTGTTTCATTGTTATATTTTAATGCGGTCCTTTACATATATACATTCCTCCTAAACAGGAATATTCATATAGAATATTAAACATTTAACTCGCACAAGTGACCGGTATCTTATTTCTTATAGTAACACTGCTGAATCAAACACAGTCATGAAAATTAAAAAAAAATCATCAAAGCTCTTCTTTATTGATCAAATTGTCCTGTTAGTACCATAAGGAAGTGTATGAAGAACAGAATAGAGGATACGTATTTGAGCACGATCCTCGCGGTGAAGAGCACTATTTAAGCAATAGTGAAAATCAGACCTGAAAAAATTCATAAAGGCTGATAGTTTCTAAAGAAACTGTTTGGGCCTGCGTCGGTGGGAGTAACGAAATAATTTGGTTATATCAACAAAGTTGAAATGGTAAATTGGCCACCGTAACGATTACGGTGACCAATTTACCATTACGGTGGCCAAATTATTCTGAAAAAATTTAGGCCTGAACAGGATTCGAACCACTGACCTCTGCGATGCTAGTGCAGCGCTCTACCAACTGAGACAACATGCCAACTGGGAGAAGGTCATCAAATTAGTCCGAAGTAAACCCGTAAGATGATAAATCAAACACACGTATATATGAAATTAATGTATCTGAATAGAGAATAGAGGATATGGTATACTGATGCTAGGCTGTTAAAGTTTAAGGATAATCCCAACCATGCAAGATACATTTATAGGTTTCTTCTCTCACGTTAGGAAGAATCTTATAAATTTACCTATGGCGAAAATGGATTTGTATCATAATCCAATGTGGGGATTGATTTTAATTCAAATGTCGAGTGAAAAGCCCTAAATGATTTTCTACGTTTAAGATCCCACATCGACTCCTACTCACCGAAACATGTTCAAAGTCCTCTAGTGCCACGTAATCACCAATCAGAAACTGTGCCGGTTTTGTCTTGATCTTATTCTTACCCAAACCTCTTTCAAGGACTGCTCGCGCCCAGTACCGTATGTTGCCATGGCGACCTTCGAAAGACGTTGGGAGATACTTGTCGGGAATGATAAACTTAAACGAGAACCGGTAACTTCCTTCCGAAATGAAAGCAGATGAGCTCATGCCATTTTTCTTATTCTTTCCTGTAAATGAACAGTCAAGAAGTCACGTTTATGCAGTTTTATTTAAACATTTTGCTGCTTAAGTGAAATTTTGATGCAAGCTCCTGTAAACTTGGACTACAGGTAGCCCTGGTCAATATAATAGTAGATGCATCAGCCGATGACGGCTAGTCGATAGTAAATATGCGAAGAATTGTTATCATGATACTGTTGTCATTCATACTTAGCTAATACAATAAAAACACACACACATCCACTGCGTGGGTTGCTTTTTTTTAACATGCTCTCTCAAGCATGAGTAGTCACAGTATTTGCCTATTATCAAACTGACCATACACCCGGTATCTCGCAGCCGAACGAGATGAGCGCGAATCAGTGATCAAGTCCAAGAATTGAGAAAAAAGCATAATGTATTTGTGTTTGGTTTGAGTATGTTTGTTTGTCTTTTCATTTTTTTTGTCCTTAAATTAAAATGGGTGGAATTAAGTGATAAAGGACCAACATTTCTATGAAAGGAGAAGATTGAAAGCTTTTCAAACGGCAAGCTCACAAACTGTGACAATAATCCATTAAGTCCTCAAAATATTTGAATGAAGATTCATCTAAGATGCGGAGCTAATGTAAAATGCTCCTTCTGATCCGATCATGGTCCGTTTTCTTTCAATTCAGCACAAAAAGGGCTAATGCTTTCTAGATATGTAAATTCTTCATCAGCTTTGTTGCTGAAATTTCAAGCAACCATATGGATCAAAGTGTTACACTCCAATACACAGAGGAACACTTCAATATGAGTTGAATAGAATTCATTGTTCGACTCACGAGTCAGAGTGACTGAAAGCTAATTTTTTACCTAAGTTGGATAATCACGACAATTCTTCCTGTAAATACACGAAATAGAAGTCTGTTCAATCAAGGTTTTTAATGATTTCTTCATCATTAATTCAGTTTTCTCGGTTTCCAAAAGCAGGACACCTAAGGAATGTCAGCGACCGTATTCGTGAAAGACACGTCATTAGTACAAAGCCAAAGATATTTTAATCACGAACTTGATAAAGCAAAGATATTCTGAAACTAGAGACGTGGGAAAGGTTCTGGTAGCAATAGATAAATTTACCAGATTCTGGTGATTAATACGGCCTAGTGAGAAATAAACAATCAATATTTGGCTTTCTGTTTTGAAAACACATCTTGTACTTGCAAGAAAGTTGTAGACAGATTTTCAACACTCACGACATTGTTACACCGATGAATGAAACAGCCGAGTCAAATGAAAAATCTCACTAAGGTATCCACATTGATTCTGCACGAGAACACCAAGACATCAACATTACTAATTTTAAACTCAATGTTTTATGCAAAATGGTCCTACTGTTTTTAGAGTTACAAAGGAAGTGTGCGATAATGAGTATTTCGCTTCAGCTTATAGTAATAAGCAGACTTCAATGAAGGAAAAACATGAGTTTTGCGCCTTTAAAACAAAATAATTGCATCCCAATTCTCGCGTAAAACAAATTCAATAATCTATTCCAGGTTTGCGTTTATATCCCTTAACAGCTTGTAGGCAATAGCTTTACTATTCCCTGCCGTTCATTCGCAGTTTTCCCCTTTTTTTAAGTACCGAAGTAGGTCCCACTAAAAGTTTATTTATTCATTTTTTTTTTTTTTTTTTGGATTTGATGTTTGATTCTATGATTAATACTCGTGTCGTATTGTTCTATTCATAACTCTGCATTTAATGTTTAAGAAAAAATGTTTGCGAAGGAAAAATTAGGAAATTGAACTTCTGGAATCATGAAATATATATGCGGTCACAAGAAAATAAATCATGTGCGTCCCGCTGATGCAGTTTCTAAGTTTTCGTGTTTGGCGCTTTCTTCTGTTTTCAGCTAGTTGAAGCATGAGTAAAATGGTTGAAAATTTGCATAAGTATTTCGTGCCAAGATGGAAACAGATACTTTTGTATCTAACCACGATCAGATAATTAGAAATATTACGGCAAGAAATCAGCGGTTGATAAAAATCCAGTTTAGAATTTTCATACGCTATATAGTAAAAGCTGATTAAAATGACTTGTAAACTTACCCTCGCCAAAAATCACTGCCATTGTGCTAAAGAACCGCTCTCGGTTGTAATGGTAGCGAGTGTGACTGCCTGAATATTCAGGCCAGTTCACATAAGCTTCGCCGCGGCATTCTAGTCGCAATTCCTTGATCTTCAAATCGTCTTTCAGATGCAATTTAACCCGACCGCTAACAGTTTCGCCAGGATAAAACACACGATTCGGTTGATCGAGTTGCACTTCAAAGATTTCAATTGCATTCGAAGCCATGATCGGCAGATAGGGAAAACACAGCACTGAAATCGCAGTCGAATCGAATATCTAAATAGTGATAGCTAAGTGGTTACGCCTTAGCACCATTCTTTACTCCAAAACCCTGTTAAGAGCATGGTATGTCTGGAACAACACTTTTTTGTGTTTCAAAAAATATCGTTGATGGCAAAATCCAAGAATGTAAATGAGATTCTTTATAAAATGGTCTAATATGATTCAGCTTTTAGTAATATGACTCGAGGCACTAATTGTCTGCGATCACTCCACTGGCGTAAGCGCACCAACGTAGAGGTAATTTTGCCGTCGTGTTTTAATACCACTGATGGCCGAAATACGATACAAATAAGGAAGCAGGCTTAGCGATCGCTGTATTTGAGCCACGATTAAGCTATTTCAAATACATTATCACTCATCTTTTGTACATCATATCAGCGACAAAGGAGGTTTTGTTTTGATAAAATGTCACACACGGTGCTGGAAAGCTTTATGAATGCTTTCAACTGTGACAAATCGTGAATTATTTCCGGTCGTTGCGTTAGCGTTGTTCAGTAAGTTTTACCATTTTCAATTTGTTTCCCAGTTAGATATCCGTTGGTCGAGAAAACATACAACAAAGTGTAGGCTGGAAGTGCATGAGGGACAAGCTACGGACAGGTGGCCGGCAGGTCTTTTGGGGTCAAGTGGGGACAATGCGCATGTACAGAATGGTTTGCTCAAATTTAAAATCAAGAAATTCGTGAGATCATGAAACTGGTTGTCAGCTAACAAGCATCAACCTTTAAAATCAGGCGTCATCACTCAATATATGCACATGTAAAGAAGACAGAATTTCTTTTTTCTCCTTTTTTTGGACGCTCCGCTTCTGTAATAGGAGCGGAGAGCCCTGGGATGCGTTGTCTGGGGATACTTGTCAGCGGTGCTGTTAGTAAACAAACATGGCGGCTGTCGAGGATGTGACGGTGAATCTTCCCTCTCTGCAGTTTGAAGCTGCTTTAACTCGCGATGAAAAGTATGTTTCGTTCAAGGGTATAAATTTTTAACTTCTTCGAGCCTGAACTGTTGTTATCTCTGTTGTAGACAGATGCTGTATTTGCGTGGACGAAGCCATGCTTTAACAGTTTCTGCTTGTGCACAAGCGTAAGTAAAAGTCAAAGCTCATGTTGTCAGTTGTTTGTCCTCACGTGTTGATCTAATTTTAATTTTTTTCTATTGAAATTTCTGTGATTTCACAAACTCTTTTTGCTTTGTTGACTGTTGTTGACTGGTGAGAAATTATCTAGCAAATCATTAGGTGAGTGTCGCCGAGAATTAAATTCACCTTTTGCGGCATGTATGCGGCTGATTAGTAGAACTTGTTCATTTGGGAAATATTTGGAATTCTATGACTGATAGTTACTGCCACTACCACAGCTATTTTGATATTTACAGCTATATTATGTTTAGTGTAACGATGAAGCTCATGATTGGGTCTTGTACTTCAATTTACAAAACGATAACCATATGATTTGTTGTTTTGTTTTTATGTTTGTCTTGAATTGTATGACTTGTACAAGTTTTTCAGCCTACATTTACAGCGCAGCTGTAGTTTGATACGAATTCAACCTAAAAATCATTTAAAATACAAAGAGATAACTTTATTTCAGCAACTACGTTTTTCATCATTGTAACTAAGTTCAATTTGTTTTGTCTGCAAGTTGGTTGAGTTGCATTTGTATATATGTGCTACCGTATATCTCATCTGATAGTATGTCTGTATGGTCATTTTCAGGGCTTTTCTGGTAGCCGTTTTAAATGATGCTAGGCAAAAAATTGTGGAAATAAAATATCCAGTGAAGAAAAAGGTATTATCTTTCAAATAATGTTGCTTTAATGCGACCAACATTTCATTTTTAACCAGGATGAATTGCACAAATATTTACCAGTAGCATCATTGTGATATTAAGTTTTGGATTAGATACTTTGTGGAGAATCAGTGTTGCTGTTTGCTCTGTTTATGGACACAGAAATGCATTAGTGCTTAGCAGATGTAGTTTTTCAGTGTTTTATCTAAGTTTATTCACTTTCAGTCATCTAAGCTTTTACAAGAAGCCCCAAAGAGAGATCCACTTTTGGTAGGAATCATTGGTTGTGGACGCTTAGGAAAACAACTCGCCAATACAATACTTAAATTCTGTAAGTTTATCTGATGTACTTTAACTCTTTTATTTAAGGGGGAGAGGGAGGGGAGGGGGCTCTTAAGCACAATAAACAAATATAAATTTAATGACAACTTGATTTTGTATAATGTTTCATTTCTGCTCATGTGCTTTCAAAACAATCCTAATTGGTTTTTACAGTATAAGGGCCTATCAGCACAAGCGGAAAAATTGTTTATTTGGACAAATTTTCTGTCATTACCAACACTTTACAAGTGTGGATGGTTTGTTGGAACTTGACAAATTGTAGCCAAAGCAGACAAATTCTCAAACTGACCACTAACAAAATTTGTACCGGTTAAAACCTTGGCAAAATCGGCTGAACAAACAAAAGCATGTAGTGGTAGATATAATAGAAGAAACAAAAATTTGTCATGATAAAATTTGTCCTTTGATTTTGTCACGACAATTCTAATGTTTTGTCTGTCAGTGCAGATAGGCCCTAAATGTGTGTTATTTACTGAGGTGATGCAGGAAATTTAATATTGATGTGTGGAAAAAACCCATTGTTTCTTGGATTGTCAGTCAGAATAAAGGGTTAACTTTGTATCCTTGTACTGTGACAGTCACATGGGAACACTAGTATTTCTTTGTGTGCTGCCTTGTAAACTCTTCAGCCAAGAGTATTTTAGCTAACCTATTTCATGAATTACTAACATTGTTGAATTTATGTTTCAGCTGATGTTCATCCAGAAGAGTTATTTCTCTCAACTAGGCGGCCAGAAACTTTATCTGCCCTTCAGATGAAAGGTGTCCATTGTGGATTTGACAATATAAAGGTCTGTGATTGTTGTATTGCTCTTTTTAACATATTTATATCTTGTGCTTCATGATAAAGAGAGATGATGAAATTGGTAACTTGAAAAAGCACTAGCTTCAACCTGTAAGCCTTAGCTTTTTGATGCTATATTTTTGCAATTGCTTTAACAGCAGCTCACTCAAATTGGGATTGTTATGCTTATTTTTATATATTTAAATCATTATCATCAATGATATTTAACCATTATTCACTGAGGGGGAGGTAAATATCCAGCACTCACCCACATTGAGGTGAATAACTGTTTGAGTATATAGTCCACATAGATACCAACAAAATAGTTAATTTCTTTCAGTAGACAGAAAAATGGCTGCCAGGAGATGAATAGAACTAGTCTTGTATGAAAGTGATCCTTGCAGTGATGAACCTTACTTGATTTGTAGTAATGGAAACTGCAGTACACATATATGATTTTCTTATATTCACAGAGTTGAGAACTTAAGTCTTGCTACTAAGTTACTTCCAAACTAGCCAATCGGCATGGATGAAAAGCACTATTTGTTTGTGTATTATATATACTAAATATATTTAGTATATACGAAAACAGTGGATAGCATTGAAGGCGCACTCTGATTGGCTAGTCAAACTCCGAATATCCTTTGCTATTTACCTCCGAGCAGCTCAGGAAAAAAATGGCGTCCCGTTTTGCATCCATGACAAGCGAAGAAATCACTCAAATTAACGACGTTGGTGTATATTATCTCACGGTTTTAGTATATACTAAAACAACTATTCACCTCAGTGTCGGTGGTTAGCGGTTGATATTTACCACTAACCACCTCCACTTTGGTGAACAGTTGTTCAATATTTTTTTATCCTTAGGTTTGCTCCACAGTGCACATGCTATTCATCTGTTGTTTGCCTTTGCAGTTCCCAATGGTGGCCAAGGTACATGAACAATATACTCAAATGAATAATTTTTAAAAACATCTTAATACTGATAAACAAAACAACCATTTTAAAATTTAGATCAGTATTACAGTGTTACATAAGATAGTAATTCAAGGATTTTTTCCAGAAACCTTCTCTCAGGTATTTCGTGTTTGAATGATAACTGCTTACTAGAAACTCTTAATTTCTTTCTCTCTGTCATAGGAAATCAAGAGACATTTGAAATGCCCTGTGTATGTGTTAGTGGGAGGTATGTACAATACTGAATAATTTGGATGCTGCATTTGAAACTTTACTATGAAATAAATAAATATAAATAAATATATGTATATATATATATACAGATAACTAACTGCAGACAGTACTGTTTCGGCCTTCTGGGCCTCATCAGTGCAGTGTTGATGCTAGATGAAGGAGAACCGAGAGGGTCACCCCAAACAACCCAACATTTGCGGTGTCGTCTAAGCCATGCCAGAGTGCTAAAACTAGAGTAAACTAATGAGCATGCAGCATGCGCATATTATATACATATATATATATGGTAACATGCCTGCACTTGGTCCCACAAGTGTAGCGCCCAGGCAATGGTTTATTCCAGAGCTTGGCCCAGTGTCTGCACTGCACTGACGAGACCCACATAGGTCAAAACAGTGTGCACCCTGTCTGCAGTTATATATATATATAAATGTTAAAAACCTTATCCTTGGATCGGAGAGTGCTCTACAATCATATGGAGCTTTGTAAACAATTATTTAGGAAAATAAAAATTAAAACTTGGTACTACAGATCTGTTTCGAAAGGATAAAAAGTCCTCTCTCGTCAGGTGGTAGACTCGATAGACAAGAGAGGACATTTTATCCTTTTGAAACAGATCTGTAGTACCAAGTTTTAATTTTTATTTTCCTAAATAATTGTTTACAAAGCTCCATATGATTGTAGAGCACTCTCCGATCCAAGGATAAGGTTTTTAACATTTATATATATATATAACTGCAGACAGGGTGCACACTGTTTTGACCTATGTGGGTCTCGTCAGTGCAGTGCAGACACTGGGCCAAGCTCTGGAATAAACCATTGCCTGGGCGCTACACTTGTGGGACCAAGTGCAGGCATGTTACCATATATATATATGTATATAATATGCGCATGCTGCATGCTCATTAGTTTACTCTAGTTTTAGCACTCTGGCATGGCTTAGACGACACCGCAAATGTTGGGTTGTTTGGGGTGACCCTCTCGGTTCTCCTTCATCTAGCATCAACACTGCACTGATGAGGCCCAGAAGGCCGAAACAGTACTGTCTGCAGTTAGTTATCTGTATATAATTATATATATATATATATATATACATATATTTATTTATATTTATTTATTTCATAGTAAAGTTTCAAATGCAGCATCCAAATTATTCAGTATTGTACATACCTCCCACTAACACATACACAGGGCATTTCAAATGTCTCTTGATTTCCTATGACAGAGAGAAAGAAATTAAGAGTTTCTAGTAAGCAGTTATCATTCAAACACGAAATACCTGAGAGAAGGTTTCTGGAAAAAAGCCTTGAATTACTATCTTATGTAACACTGTAATACTGATCTAAATTTTAAAATGGTTGTTTTGTTTATCAGTATTAAGATGTTTTTAAAAATTATTCATTTGAGTATATTGTTCATGTACCTTGGCCACCATTGGGAACTGC